TTAAATTACTTAATTTCTTTTCCCTTCCTCGCCATAACATTATTGTTCACTAAGATGTTAACTGATCGTTATAACGACTCATACCGAGTGTAAGAAACACTTGAGGAAAGCAATAGAATGATCGGAACTCGATAGATCACTTCTTGTTCGTAGAATACATAACGTATAGCAGGTATGCTAATAATTTTCTGACCTAAATATTCTACACAATTATTTCATTTCATTTTTTTCATCGTTATAAATACTTGTACTGTTGCTCTTTTCCATAGTCTTTTAAGTACATAAACTAAATTCTTGTATTAAAGTCATAGAAAAATCTTTTATTACATCTTTTATGTTTCATATTCCTGTTACTCTTTGTGTGTGCAAATAGTGTTATGATTCACTATAATTTATTCAAAATTTTACTCGTATAACACGATTTCATGCAAAGTATAACGTTCAACCAATGTAGACGGAAATCTACAGTATGTACAGTAAACTTTCGTATAACGCGAGTTCTTCCAACTCAAATTCCTACAACATGCTAAAAGTACAGTAACGACGTTTTCCATATCACACGAGTCACGTACAGGGCGTTATAGTGCAGTGTTTAATACGATGGACAAATTCCTCGTTTCTCCCGCTTGTTATCTTCATCGCAACAAATTTCTTTTGTTATTATGAAACATTTTTAGCATATTTAGTTATATCCCACTTTTTTATTCAAGATCTATTGCGATTTCCGATTAAGCGATTTTATGCAGCGCGTAACATGTTAATAGCGTTAAAAAATTCCAAAATCTGGAATGGCCAAAGATGCAGGAAAATATTAATCACAAGTTAGTTTGCAAGGAGCAAAGGATACGAAGATTACAATATAACAGAAAAGTGGGACACGTTTGAATGGACACGAGCATCCACCGCCAGTCCACGGTGATCCATGATTCGACTGGACGGAATATAACGTTACACCCGAATTCTTGCTTCTGAATAACTGTAATTCGGTTCTTGCGCGACGAATATCGGGTAACCGTGATTCGATGTCGTAGCAGACATCGGAACATCGTCAGGAAAGACAAATCAAACGGATACGAAGAAAGTACTGAGAGTATCCCGCAAGGGAACAAAAAAAGCATTTGTGAAGAAATTGGTACTAATTATGGTATTTGATCATTTGGTAGGTAAGAGTTTTGTTTGCTAATAGTGCACTCGTTACATGAAAAATACTCTCAAGGTTGTCACTAAAGTTTCTTCCGTTTCATTAATAAGTAGACTGCGGATTTTTATGCATTTATAGGGAATTTGAATGTGCAAGAAACTACAAAATACACACAGCGTGCAAGAATATAAAAAATATTGAGAGTAAAGTTCATATTATAATATTTGCAGAGTAAAATAAATTCCTATTTAGGTTCAATTTTTGTAGATACGTTTGCCAAGATTTTATTTTGCATAAAGATCCGCAGTCTATTAATAAGTAATACATACATAATATTTTATTTATGTCTAATGCTACATTATTGAATTGTGTACGATTCATTTTGCTCCGTTACTGTTACAACATTAACATCTAAGAAATTAGGTTGTCTATTTATATAAATATTGCTACACAAAATAACTGAATGCGAGTCACGGAAGAAACTTTTGGGGCAACCTAACATTATTGATGATACTTATTTAAAATTTATATACCTATAAGTCTGAATGTGATGCTTATTTTTAGTGATAGAAAATAAAGTGTCGAACAATAATTGTCTAATTTCGAGGGGTACGTAACGAGGTGTCAATAACTTTTTTTAGCAGTAACTGTTTTGAGCGTAGAGAAGATATAAAGGTCGACTCTTTTTTTTAAATAAAATGATATAGCTTCTTATACACATATTGATAGAACCCTTCAAGATGAATACAATGGCTTATAGTTGAAGGTCATTCAAGGTTACACAGGCTACCTGTAATGGAAAATAAATTGAAAAACAAGTACATCTGTATAATTGAAAACAAGTATATAAGTTAAATCTTTAAAAGTAATTCACAATTATATAAATAAAATGCGTAAGAATAATACACAGTTCTATAAACGAAATATCCTAAAAACAAATAATACAGTTCGTTCCATACATTATTATTTATTTTTAGTTCGCAAATCGTGAGAGACGAATTAAACGGATACGAGGAAAGCACCAGGAACATCTCGTAAGAGAATAGAAGACGTGACAATTGCGAAGACGAACAATCGCTTTTACGAATCTGTTTCTCCATCTTGTTGTTGCTTTCACGTAATATTGTACTCGGCAGCTTGTTGAAAACGAGTGTTCGTTCTCATAAGGTCGTTCACTTCGAAACCTTTCTATTCTCGCGACGAGAATTACGGGGTTGCTCATGTTCTGCTGTCTTCCTATTGTTTTTTGTGATCCATACTCATTAACAAATAAACTTAGTACATGCACTTACAAACAATTGTTTGTCATAGACGATCATTAATGTATTATATTGAAAAATACAAATTATTCCGAAGAAAGTTTGCAAAATTCAGGTTTCATGTCTTCTATGTTGAAAATTTCATATACCCGAAAAGGCCCTGATACAAAAGTTGATATGTTACAAAATAAGTTTTTCATGTGTTCTGGATATTCCAAACTTTTGTTTACGACAAAGCATCAATGAAAGAAACGGAACAATATCAATTCCTACAACTCTTATTAAATGTACTTAATAGTGTACTGTTTACTGTTTTTTTTATTGCTCTTTTTAATATCAAGAATGATTAAAATATGCTCTAAACCGTTTAGTAATTTTGAGGAACAAAACTTTAGTGTTCATCGATGTTAATTATACAACCTGCGTTTCAACCACTAGGGAATAGGGAGTATAAGCATTTTCAAATTGACGAAAACAATTTCGAATAGAAATTGGATTAATTGAATATTTCGATTAATCGAATAATATACAAGTTCAATATGTATAATATAAGTTTTAACGTTCATACAACTTTTTACAAGTTGTATTAAGTATAAAATTAACTTACATCATTTTTATGCATTTCTCCGTTTCAACTTCGTAATCAATTTCATACTCAATACCTACTGTCTGGAATTTATATTCTTATATTTATGCTTTAAAATATTCCTGAAATGTAACTTGAATTTTTGACATACGAAAGTATATATGTATGTAATGTTCTGAAGGGCCAAAAATAATATATACCTTCATGCTTTCAAACAATAAAATTTAATGGTGCAACATCTGAGTAACCTAAATCAGAAAAAAATTCCTTTCCTTTTTAAGAACAACAGGTCTACGTCGAATTTATTTGTTACGAACAAATTGGATTTTGTGTTTCTTTATATTCATATATTAGACATCTGTATTCTTCAATTGAATCACACATTTCCCACACAAAATTATTTTTATTCGCTCGAAGAAAGTAAAATATCGCTTGCATAATTTTCGATTTGTTTCTGTAATCATTTTATATATAAATAGTAAGTGAGCAAAACACGCTCCATTAATGATACAATACTCAACCAGCTACGAGGATTAAAGACGATTAAAATATCACAAGTTTAGATAAACTTCCAATTAAATTCCAATAGCGTTTAGTCATATATTATTGGAATGATACTCTATAAACAGTAATAAACATTATTTCGAAGTATTACTTTTTAATCGCGAGATTTAAATTTTTCATTCACTCGAACACAAATTTAATCTTCTAATAAGAATGATCGATGGACCTCGTAATTCGTAGGAAAGGATGACGCGTTTTATCCGTGTTCTTTCTCGTATGTGACTGCGAGAAATCCTTTACTCTCGCGACGATCTGCAATTGGTGACGACACGAGAAGAAATTGGACACATACAGTGTGTTTGCGGAAATAATAGCCAACGCTTTTCTCGTAAATAGCGAGCATTAGAAAAAAATGATAAAAGAAAAAGTTGTAGTTTCTTACGACCAACATAATGGCGCATATGTAGTTGTTATATTTGCAATATATTTGGAGAAACGAACGTGAACTGTTATGTTTTTAATGAAAAGCTATATATTTTTGTGTATTGTGAAAGAGTATATCAAGATGGATTTGTTTATGTGTAATATAATAATCTTCACAGTTCTCCGAAGTCAGAAATGAAAGAAATATAGAAATATAGAAATATAGAAATATAGAAATATAGAAAGTATTTCTTATTAATACAGTTTAGTTCGTTTAATGTGACTTCTATGTCTACTATTGTCTACAAGAATTGTTTACAAGACAATTTTAGTATTTGTTGTGCTCAACACTTTTTAAATTTCTTGGTCGACTCGATCCATGGTGACTACTAGGTAAAGATGCATATGGAATGTTCGGCTTCGTGACATGTAAATATATTGACATTTCATACAAAATTAACGAAAGCTATCAAAAACGTAATTTGTAGAACTGAAATGTCCATTTATGGACAAGGAAGTCACATTGAATATCTATTGTATTCAATAATCATAGGTATCAATAAAGAATGCTTCTAAATAAAAACTAAATATTTGAACAATTCCTTGATTTCTAACTTTATAGGGCGATCAAAGTGATTGTATCGCACGTATTCGTCTCGATCTTGATCCACGTTTTCATAATCCATACAAAAATATACAGCATTCCTTTAAAAAAATTAAAGACAACTTTCATTTTTTCAAAAATATTGCAAATATAAAAAATTATATTGCCATTATCGTAGAGAACTACAAAACTTTTTACCCAATCATTTTTTTCTAACGTTTACCATTTACGAGATAAACGCTGCCTAGTATTTTCGCGAACACCCTGTACATCGCTTACAATTAGCACCAGTAAAGACAATTAATTTCAGAAACGCGTAATTGTCAGTCGAAGAACTTACGGGTACTTCTGCCCCGTCCATTCCGTGAGAATTTTCCCAGATCTGTCGCGAAAAGAATGGCATTCACGTGACCAGAGCTAACGTTACGTACGAATCGTTTCTTTGCGCCGTGCTGGCTACAACTCGTTGTCTCTTTGTTTCAGATGTGGGATCGACAAAGACAAGCATGGGCCGTCGTTCTTCTAGGCAACGTCCTGATGAATACCGTGATTGCCTCCCCGATCTACGTTCCCCAGTTCGTTCCAGGAAGTAAGTTCCTCCATGTGATTTTTCTGTACTTTGACAACCAGACGAATTTTTGGACAATTATTATCTCTGAAGTTAAAACGTACATTCTTTAGCGATTTAGATTAGAACGTGTTCCTTGCATTTATCCATCAATTAACGTAGATACGTAGGAGTCAAGTTGTTACTTCCGAGACTTACATGCAGTGAGAGATATTTTATTTCAGTAACAGATAACAAATAAAGACACTATAGTACAGATACATTTTATCGTTTAGTCGGTGGAACAGTTATTCAAATGAATTTTTGCCCGTTCAACGTGGAATATAATTTATTTTCTAATTCAGGTTGTGGCTATTATTGAATAAATACAGGATAAAAAATGAGACAACGTTCACATTTAGTATTAAGCTTCTTAAATAATGAAGTAGATGAAATTTTAATTGATTTTTTGTCAATCCAGAAATATATGTACATTTTAGTTTCTTTTTCGTTCAACGAGAGACATAACTTCATTTTATAATTCAGATGGTAAATGTCATTGATCAAACATGGATATTAAAAAATAGAAATATAAACAATGTTTTTTTTATAATTGAAAATCATTTTATTTTTGAAACAAGGGAGGTGCTAACAGGGAAATGTAACGTTTGTGACATACAATGAAGCATGGATAGAGCCGGGAACAAATGGATAGATATGTGATACTGTAGGAGGGGGGGGGGGGGTGCTAACGGAGAAAAGCTTTTTACTGACAATGAGATTGATTTTCAATCCCTTGATTCTTACGATGAGCGTGAAATGTGTTCATTTTTAAACGACTTCGAAAAATGAGGAGGTTACTCGATTCGACATGTATGTTTTTTTTTTGTTTACATACATATATATCCAACCCTTCGGTCAGCGCATGCTACATTATGCAATCTACATGAAATTAGTGATCCAGGTGTATTTTCATTTTTTCGACTTTCCGCCACCTTTTCAAGCCATCGGCCCCACTGTGCGCTCGTGCGCGGTGCACAACCTGCACAACTGTACGTGGCGGTACTGATTATCAGAATCAGAGTCAGAGTCAGAGTCAATCAGAATCAGAATCGGTATACATTCGTCCAATAATGAGAAAATGTCCGAATACTATGAACGGTGCTGTATAAGATCGAGACCCAGCTTCGAGTCTCGTTCCCTAATTTCCCTTCTCTCTGCACGATTCCTGGATTTCCCCGGAGTGTCAGCTGAGTAACGGATCGGTACGTAGATACCCGCGATGGGCAGGGCGAAACTTGTACGTACGTATCCTCCGACGTGTGAATGCCCCGTGTTCGTATGCGTGCTTACCTGTTCGCGACGCAGGACGACATTGAACCTACCTTGGATTCAAGCTCCAACGGAACGTGGGCGGACTGATCAGTTTCCTACAGAAGTGGGTTAGCCCCGGTCATCGACGCTCACACACGACTTACGCTGATTTTTCCGACCCCGTCATCTTCGTTGATCTCATCTGTATTCCTATCGCTACGTTCGAACGGTCGTCGTGTCGTTGGAGTGAAATCGGCGATCACGATGACCGTCTCTTCGCGCCTTCAGCTACATACATTGCGTGACACAAACTGATAGCTCATTCACCATTTTAGTTTGTACTTGGATATGCAGTAACTCGCGAAGGTAATCAAATACTTTTCTTTATTATATTCTTTATTTAATGAACCTTTAATTCTTATTAAAATCAATTTACAGTTTGGAATTAAATTTAATTGCCATAGAAGAGAGGATCGGCTCTTGTGCGAAATATAAGTTAGAATTAATCCACGTGTCGTTTGAAAGGCATGATTATGATCGAGCCATACATACATACCAGATGATTAGATTTTTTACTGTACGTAATACGCAGGGCGAGGCACACACAGCCGGCTTCTTGAATAATTCGCTTGTTTTTAACAAAAAAAAAAGAGATGATCAAGAATGTGTTGCATACTATATGGCGCTAACAACTTTCCTCAAATCTGTGGTTTTAAATGGAATGGCATAGTTTCCTATATACACTCTGATAGAGCGTTTCAAGTGGTATACAATGATCTATAGTTGGAGGCGAGGTAAGGTTATACAAGTAAATTGTAATGAAAAATAAATTGATTCACGGTGTTCCCCATATGTTGCATTAAATTTCTTATTTGCATATTTACTGCTACGACAAATGATCAAAAGTGACGACCTTGAACTTTGATGCATTTTGTTAATGGCGTTGATGCAGAAAGACTGGAGGTTTTTATTTGCCTATTCGTATTTCATTCGTTGTTGGCGTTTTGCTATATACTTGCTGTTTCAAATGACTCCACAATTAAAAATTTAGATGTGTTCAATCGGGAGAACGTCTGGACCATTTGACATTCTCCGACCAGTCGATCTATCGATCTCTAAATGACCTGTTTAGCAACTGATAATGAGTAATAATTCCTACAGTATCCAAACAGTATTCGTATGAGTATCCAACTTGGAGAAAACTGTAACGTGTTTCACATTACTTCACCTAACTACATATAACATGCATATGGTGGTATATTTTTAAAGTACTTATTATTATTAGTGTAATTTTCGTATGGCCATCAAATTCATTTTTTAAAAAATGCGCTCAAAATACATATATTTATGTTTACGTAGAGCTCTAATTATAAACCAAAACGATAAGTAGCCTACCCTTCTGCTCTGTACTCCAACAATAAGTCAATAAGAAAATACTTCTTCATCATGGTTAAATACGGTTCTCTATTGCTATAAGTAATTTATGAAATGTACTTTGCAACGTATAGAATGTATTATGTTACGTGGAATCTACTTTAGTGAAGGATTGGGGACACAAAAACAATGAAGGAAGCTGGCTTAAATTTATGTCTTGTTTGACCCTGTTTCCGAGAATAACATTTTGTTGTACTCCGACTAGTTCTTCGCCTTTTCACGGCTGAATTAATCAATATTAGGAAGAATCTTTGTGATAAATTAATACCACAATTTGTTTTTTAATAATTACAACTGTGAATATATGTGAAAATTCAATAAAAATGTAAAATATCTTACAAAACTCCCGTGAAAGTCAAAAACCATGATATATTCTTTATAATGCAACTCTACTAGATCATTTGATATTTTTACAATTTTAACATCTGCATATTGTATGAGTATTAGTATTAGTATTAGTCAGTTTTTCCCAACTACACTATTTTTAATATTTAAAAAAGATGGATTTACTATGTACTTCTTTTCTGATTCTAATCCATCTTTACAGGATGATGGAATACAGACTGTAATAATTTGTCTAAAATATGGAGCGTAATAATTCCATAATTTAAACCGACCTCAATCACATTATCAACATCTTTGACGTATGATTTCAATCTATTATAAATATGTGTCATTCATGGTTTTAAGAGATCTTTCATATACATAAATGAAATTCTTAAATTACGTTTTTTTCGGTCGTACACTAAAAAGAACCTTTAAATGCACTAGTATGGCCATGATACAATCTTTGCACGGACAATTTAAAGAAAAGTAGTCAAGATAATAAGAATATAAACGTGTATAATAAGTAGCAAAGTATGAAGTCTAGAAACAGAATGCCTAAATAGCATTAGTCTTTGATACTTCGAAGCATGTGTGATGTATCGAAGGAATAGAAAGCAAATCCAGTATGTCCTTCTTTGTAGCTGCAAATGGGTATAAATTCACTTTAAATATACTTTTCAATTTCATTGATCTACCACATCGGATTCATCGAATGCTTAGATTGTTAAGAAATGTTAACATCCGAAAAAAATACAGTCTTTAAAAACTATCAACCTGTTTTCCTCTATCATACAATCACTGAATAACGAGTCATTTTATAGTTTTGCGTTACTAAACGTTTAGTAGATTTTGTTATTGATCTTTCCAGGAGTCTAGTTGGTGGAATTTGATTCTTTCCGTTTCACAAATCACAAATTTGCTGGAACGTCTATCATTCGCTAAAAATCTCAGCTCAGCAACACTTTTGAAATTGTTTTGATAATAAAAGAAGTAACAATACATATACATTTTATTAACACGAGTTATTATCGTTGTCAGAAATTTGTATGACTGAACATTTTCCTTGTAATACGATGCTTCATGTATGAACATAATTTGATCGTTAAACAAAAGAAATTTGATAATTATACATATTAAATTTTACAACTTTTGAATAAAACAAGTATTATTGATATTTATTATTTTTATAATTGATTCCTTTTTCGTAATTTAAGATTTGTTTTAGTCAAATCTTAAATTAGTAGAAAATGGAGAAATTTGTTTATAAAGAAAATGTAGAAGAAGGTTATTAATTGAGCAATCCGTAGGTACGGCGATAGAGACTAGTTTTGTGAACAATAAACGTTCTCACTCATAACAATTGGATATATAGTTTTCTTGTTTTGCTGTCAACCAGGAAATGTGTAGTGCACATTTTGGATACAGCGCAAATGGATAGGTAAACTATATTAAAAATTGATTTTTTATATTGTCCAATGTGTATATATTCATTTTAATAAGTAATAAATTGATTTACTTGTATTATTTGTTCGAATAAAATCCTTGAAAAATTCGTCTATTTTCAAACTTTTCTTGATATACCTCCTTAATGGGCTTGTATTGGTAGGTGTGTAACTTTAATCACCCGTAACTCTAAAATTACCAAGTTACTTTGCCTAATATTTCATATACAGAAATTCGTATATACTGCAAAAGTAGGTTAAAATCGAAGGGGAACAGGTCGACTGCTTCCCTTGTACGTCGCTTGAAACTATTCTCGCTTTTCTTTCGTCACTCCACTTCGCGATCATTGACATTGCAACCAAACAGCAATCCCAATAGATTAGATCAATGCAATTATTCGCATTCATTCTCGTGGACAAAACGATATATCCATTCCAGAGATGGCAGGATTTTACTCGAACAATAATGACATAGCCTATAAAAATTGTGGAACTATTAAAGAGTTATTCAGTTATCTAAACTTA